CACACACACACACACACACACAAGAGACATACATGTGATTATATGAGACTTAATTTGTTCTTGAGAGCATATTCTTTTAATATTGTTTTAAACATTGATGGACCTTCATTTTGTTCATTTGTTTATATGTAGTGCCGAGGATCAAACCCAGTGCCTCACACATGCTACATGAGTGCTCTACCACTGAGCCACAACCCCAGCTCCATTGAGAGCATTTTTTTTTTAATATTTATTTTTTGGTTGGACACAATATCTTTATTTATCTATTTATTTTTATGTGGTGCTGAGGATCGAACCCAGGGCCTTGCACATGCTAGGTGAGTAGTGCTCTACCACTGAGCCACAACTCCAGCCCATTGAGAGCATATTTTTAAAAAAACAAAAAAGTATTGGTGTTGATGTTTTGAAACCATCATGTTTTTTTTTTCCTTAAAGAGAGAGAGAAATTTTAATATTTATTTTTAGTTTTCGGCAAACACAACATCTTTGTATGAGGTGCTGAGGATCGAACCTGGGCTTGGCAAGCGCGCTACTACCGCTTGAGCCACATCCCCAGCCTTAAAACCATCATGTTTTAAACAAAAACTTCTATTTAAAAAGGAACAAATTCAACATCTCATTTTATAAATATTTTATTTCTTTCAAGCAAGCAGGAATATTTTTAAGAAGGAAGGTGAGGGGCTGGGGTTGTAGCTCAGTGGTAGAGCTCTTGCCTAGCATGTTTGAGGCACTGGGTTCAATTTTCAGCACCACATATAAATAAATGAATAAAATAAAGGTCCATCAATGACTAAAAAAATTAAAAAAAAAAAAGAAAGAAAAAAGCCCCAGAACTCCCAATGCAGCACACATGGGAGGGGCACAAGTGCTGCAAATACTGGGCCCAGTATAATCCCAGTGGCTCTGGAGGCTGAGGAAGGAGGATCGAAAGTTCAAAGCCAGCCTCAGCATCTTAGGGAGGTCCTAAGCAACTCAACAAGACCCTGTCTCTAAATAAAATATAAAAAAGGTCTGGGGATGTGACTCAGTGGTTAACACCCCTGGGTTCAATTCCTGGTACCAAAAAAATAGAGTACCCCAAATATTTATTTTCAATGCTGGAAATTATGTCCTTATGTCCTTTAAGTTTTTTTTTTTAATACTGGGGATTGAACCCAGGGGTGTTCAGAGTTGTTTTACCAATGAGTTACATCCCCAGCCTTTGTATTTTTTTATTTTGAGACAGGGTCTAGCTAAGGGCTTCAGTAAATTGCTGAGGCTTGCCTCAAATTTACAATTCTCCTGCCTCAGCCTCCTGAGTCACAACTTCATATTCTAATTTTAATAAGTTTTCCAATTGTCTCTTGGTTTCTTTTTTTGTTTCTGACTTTCATTTAAAAATAAATAAGCTTGGTGCAGTGGCACACACCTGTAAATCCAGAGAGTCTAAGATAGGAAGATGATTAATTTGAATCCAGTCTGGGAAACTATAAATAACTAAATAAAAACTGTAGATAAATAACTGAATTTCCAGTTAAATTTGTATAACATCAAAGGAACATTGTTGAATGAGATACTACTATTGAGCAGCAATCTGGTAAAATATAGAAGAAGCATGTACATAATATGGACAGATTTTTTTTGAAATCAGTACTGTGTTCTCTTGACCTCTGAAAAACTTCTTCTCTGTGGTCATTTACTTATCTGTAAAATTTGAATATAATAATTCCAACTTTATGAGGTTGTTGAGACTGAGATTTTATATTTCAATGTCCTTTTTTTTACAAGGTCTTCAAAATAACAGCTGTTAAATGAAATTATAACTTCTCAATGAAGGTTGACCCTGTCATACCCACAAGGGGGCAATAGTGACCTTCATTTTTATAGGCTATTGATTGTTTTAAATCATTTTGCTTTCAGCTAAATGATTCAAAACATTTGGCTTAAATATACACATACATGAAATCAGAACATTTATAGACTTTCGCGTTTTTTTGGGGGGGATACTCAGTATTCAACCTGATTTTAAGTTCCTTTCAATTCTGATATTCTGAGTCTTGAGCTCTGCCAATATCCATGCATGACTAATTTTTTGTTTTGGTTTGGTTTTGGTGGTACTAGGGATTAAATCCAGTGGCATTCTACCAGTATACACATCCCCAGTTCTTTTTTTTTTTAATATTTAAACATCTATTTTATTTCTATGTGGTGCTGAGGATCGAACCCAGTGCCTCACGCATGCTAAGCGAGTTCTCTACCTCTGAGCCACAACCCCAGCCCCTCCCCAGTTCTATTTATTTCTTATTTTGAGATAGAGTTTTGCTGAGTTGCTAGGCTGACTTCAAAATTGGGATCCTCCTATCTCAGCCTCCCAAATTGTTGGGATTATAGGAATGCACCACCACACCCAGCAACTTTTGGATTTATAGTGATTTGGGTCACACTGATTAGAACAAATACTTTTATAATCCAAAAGCCTTTAGAAGCCAATGAGATGATTTCTTCACAAACATGAGAAAAGAGCTAGAGTTGGTCTGTAGTCTAACCGCTGACATTCTCCAAATCTTGATTAGGAATGATAACAAAAGTTTATTCAGAATAAAGTTTTTTGCCCTGATTCCCTTGGGCCAGCATTCTATTTGTCATGTAGCTCTTGGCACACCTACTCTTCTTTTCTCTCTTTTTTGACAACTATAAATTTAAGTGTCTAAATCACCATGTTAAGAGCTGACCTCCCCATGATATCTTACTTATGAAGCAATTCTACCCTCTTTTATCTGGTTAACCTACCCAATGCTTATTTGGTACAAAAGAAGATACAAGACAAATTTAGATTGTTATTCAATTGAGTATTTCTCTCTCTCTCGCTCTCTCTCTTTTTTTTTTTGGACAGCTTCTCCTTTCTCATCATCCAATAATTTCTGTTTATTTATTTATGGTACCAGGGATTGAACTCAGGGGCACTGACCACTGAGCCACATCCGCAGCCTTATTTTGTATTTTATTTAGAGACAGGGACTCACTGAATTGCTTAGCACCTCATTGTTGCTGAGGCTGGCTTTGAACTCGCGATTCTCCTGTCTCAGCCTCCCTACCTGCTGGGATTATCCAATAATATTGGATAATAATATTGCATAATGTGGTAGAGAGCCTGCCTGGCATGTGTGAAGAAACACTGGGTTTTATTCTCAGTACCTCATATAAGTAGATAAATAAAATAAAGGTCTATTGACAACTAAAAAATATATATTAAAAAAAAGAAAGAGGGGCTGGGGATGTGGCTCAAGCGGTAGCGCGCTCGCCTAGCATGCGTGCGGCCCGGGTTCGATCCTCAGCACCACATACCAACAAAGATGTTGTGTCCGCCAAGAACTAAGAAAAAAATAAATAAATGTTAAAAATTCTCTCTCTCTGTCCCCCTCTGTCTCTCACTCTCTCTTTAAAAAAAAAAAAAAAAAAAAAAAAAAAAAAAAAAAAAAAAAAAGAAAGAATTAGTCCTCACTTTGGCAGCACATGCCTCCATGCAAGGACAACAAGCAAATTTATGAAGCATTCCAAATTTTAAAGAAAAAAGGATTAAAGAATTAGCTGGACATGATAGGCACAGTAGTGCATGCCTGTAAATATCAGCAATTCAGAACGCTAAGCAGAAAGATTGCAAGTTCAAAGATAGCTTGGGCAATTTAGGGAGACCCTGTCTCAAAATGAAAAACAGAAGTGGCTCTACTTGGTAGTAGAGGACCCTGGGTTTCACCCTAAGTATTATAGGAAAGAAAAAAAGAGAGAGAGAGAGAGAGAGAGAGAGAGAGAGAATATGATGGTATTAATGCTTTTAGTGGATCTTTTTGATACCAAAATCCATATTGCAAAGTTTGCTTTCAAATTTTCCATTTGTGCCTTACATAGTGATGCACACCTGTAATCCCAGAGCTCAGCAGGCTGAGGCAAGAAGATTGTAAGTTCAAAATCAGTCTCAGCAATTTAATGAGGCCTTGAGCAACTTAATGAGACCCTGTCTCAAAAAATAAAAGGGCTGGGGTTGTGGCTCAGTGGTAGAGTGTGCGTCTAACATGCATGAAGCCATGGGTTCAATCTTCAGCACCACATAAAAATAAATAAATAAAATAAATGTGTTATTAAAAATAAATGGAAAAAATAAAAATGCCTCAGGAGTTGGGGATGTGGCTCAAGTGGTAGCGCGCTCGCCTGGCATGCATAAAGACTGGGTTCAATCCTCAGCACCACATAAGAATAAAATAAAGTTATTGTGTCCACCAAAAAAATAAAAAATAAAAAATAAATATTTTTTTTAAATTGCTCAGAGGATGCTGGAGA